CTATTAACTCACTAATTCTCAACATGAAAAACAATGAGAGATGTTCCTTATTTATAGATCCTAACTAGCTCAGATCCTACTCCAACTAGATCTCTAATTAAAGCAATAAAATATTAACTCCTAAACATATTAGATCTCCTAACATCTTCTGCTACTCGAATCCTAATAGTGCTAGATGTGAATAAAGGCAATATGGAAATAGAATCCAAATTAACTACCAAGTCTTAGACTCTAAGTTACTTGATGCCCAAGTCGCCGCCCAAAACTTTGGCCGCCTTCAATGCGCGCGCGTTGGTCGCCTACTCCTAGTCGAGCGCAGCTTCGCGCGCGCGCGTCTCACTCACTGTCGCACTGCCTAGTCCTCCGTTGCTTAGAACGTCCACGCATGTACCGCATGTTGGGTTCGATATACCGTACGAATCAGAATTTGCAGCGGAATTTAAAAAATTTTATAAGTATTTATCTCATAAATACTTATTTCGTACATAAGTATAACGAGATAACGAATAAGCATCATTTAAAATCTAGTAACTTCTACTAATTTTGATTTGATATGTAATTTTAAATAAAATTACTCTTATTCTTAAACTCCTTCAAAAACGTAGAAGGATGATGAAATCAATTCCTGGATTGGTAACGTCACTTCTTGTGGATTGGTAACGTCACTTCTTGTGCTTGTGGTTACTCACTTTAGGAATCCAAACGTCTTCCCTCTAGTCGTATCCACCTTTCAAAATCCGGTTCCGACAATAGTTTCTTCGCTAGTAGAAACTACTCGGTAAGTATTGAATATATATTTATATGGAAATTTTCATCCTCAGTCATTATCATGTAATTTATCCTGTGCTTGCACCTGTGCCCAGGTACAAATTTTTCATCACAATTATAGCACAATCCTCTCTCCCTCCTTGCAGCCATTTCAGAGGAAGTTAATAACTTTGTGTTTGGTCTTTGAAAAGGGGTTCGGGGGTTTCTGGTAATGGGATTGCTGTTTTGGGTTGCTTTCTGAACATGGCCCATTTGTCATTAAATCAAATCTTCCCGAGTCTTCTAACCTACACCTCAACGACGACGAAAAAAACCGAAAATCGACCGAAAAACACAAGAAAGACTGAAATAGAGTGAACAATGAAATAAACTACAAAATGAACCAAAAACCAACTAATAGACCTAATAAGGGAGAAAAATAAAGGCAAAAAGACATTGAAAAATGCAACAAAAAAGGGACAAACAACTCCCCCACACTAAAATATTTGTTCGACCCGAACAAAAAGAAAAGAAAAGAAACAAAAAGAAGCAAACGAGCATGGATAACAGTTTCAAATAAGACAAGTCTCAAATTAATCAACTTAGCCGAGGAGACTCCTAATGACCAATCAAGAATATCTCAATTACACTCGAATGCAACATTCTGAAAAGACAAACTCTCTCAAGCACGAAAATATAATATATGTATGCCTCACCTAGTTTCTTTCACGAATATAAAACTGGGACGCTCAAATTGGTCGGTGATCCTGCTTCAACATAAGCATGCCTATAGTCTATTCACACTATGAACAATCAAAGATCGTGAACTTGTAAGTCAATAGGACTTATGGGGTTGCATTGTAGGCATCAGGAGAAGAACAAATATAAAGATAAAGTGGTTCTAATAAACAGTCATGATCTCGAGCACTTACACTACTCGAATGCCTCACCACCTATCCAAAATCCGCACAAAACCAATCATTCCCATCAAAACTCCATAAACACTCACATATGCTCAGATTGAAATGCAATTCAAGTACTCGACTATTTTTTTCTTCTTTTTTTAGGGAGAATGCTATTTTTCTAGCAAAACTGCGACGAAAGGACGACGTTCTCTAGGTTTAAACATTGGAGGTCATCCAAGTTTCCTATAATGGTTTCCCAATGCTCATTACTCGTGAAAGAAATTCAACATAGGTAGAATAGAATCGTTTTAGTCCATCTTGCAAGTTCTCAATTATTATTATTATTATTTTTTAAGAACTCAAAATGCAACTCAAACAAGTTATAACCTTCTCCCAAACATATATCAGAGAGCTCTATCATCATAACAAGTACACTATCAAATCTCAAGCAATTCAATCAAATTGGTTGACAAGAAATACGGTTAGAGGCTCAACAGGCTACTAATGAACATTTAACTTTAATGCAAGTGTAAGCGTCCTGGCCCGGTTTGGATCGTATCGATCTTTGCCCTCGCCGATAGAACGCCAGAAACCTACAAATAACTCTCAAACCGGGGGTTGTGTCCGGTGAAGAGCCTCCGATGCTTAAGTTAGTATGTGTATGAGTATATTGGAGTTGAATAATGAATAGAAAGTGTTAAGGGAGAAAGGCTCACCCCTTTTATATAGGGGTGAGATACCTACCCTAATAGCTGCCCGGATAAGGTGAGCTGGCTGCCCAAGCTGCCCATCCGTACTCTGACACACCGTGCGCAAGTCAGAGGGTGCGCGGGGCATTGGGAGTTGTCAGAGGCAGTCATCGATATCCACCAATGCATTCTTGACACGTGTCCCCTTGCACATGGGGTAAATATTCTTCTGATATTTGGTTAGAGGCTCTCACATGCGCCTGTGACTAGGCCGATTACTGAGTCCTCGAAGTGATCGACCTGCTAAGGTCGAGTAGGTTGCTCGATTGCTTATCGGATCGAGCGATGGATAGGTCGACTACTTATCTGGTCAACTATCTGAATGGTCGATCCTCCCGCCTTTTAGCTGTGCTTCCTCACGGTTTGATCTTCTCGACCAGCTTAGTGGACCGGTTCAGCCTTGTGTACATAATATCCTATATCATCTAGTCCCCCTCACTCTGGTTGAGTCTGAATGACTCGATCTAAGAGTGAATTCGTGTTTATCGACCTCATGGATGGCTTGTCATCAGATATCGACCAGCTAGTGAGTTTTCCGCTTATTCTTTCAAATAATTTCCCATTACTTGCCAGAAATAAAGTCGTCTGTCCCAAGCCCTTTCTGTCGCTCCTGCTTTTCTGCCACACGTCGCGTCTGCCGCATGTGTTAGGTACTTTAATGATGATGCCTCCTCGCATAACGCGCCATCCTTGAGTGCCATGTGAATTAATGTTTCTCACCGTACGATCTAACTTTAATCTAACGGTCCTCATTGTTTGTTCCATTTTTGTTATGATTTTCGTAGTCGGTTTATGTTTATTTTTCCCCGTCTTAGGTGTTTTTACTTAGTTAGAGTCCGTTTTTGTTAGTTTTTGTTTGCTCGATGTTTGTTATGTTTTCCCGTTTGTTCTTCTTTTTCTCCATGTTTTTCTTGTCTTTCGTGGTGTGTAGGTTCAATAGGTTGATCGACTTATCGGTGGATCGAGTTGGTATGCGTGCAAGAAGGAAGAAAATCGAGTAAAGGAAGCGAAATCGGGACCGAAAATGCAAAGAAAAATACTGCCGGCAGCAACAAAATCCCGCGGCCGCGGGACCCAGTCGCGACCGCGGAACGGCGAGTCACGGCCGCTGGACGGACCGTTGCGGCCACGGAGAAGAAAAATAACAGTTTTTTTTATTTGATGTTTTGAGTTTGAAAATGGATGCTAGTGGCTTAAAATCCGGTGATGATGTTTCTAATGTGGAGTTCTTCATTTTGCAAGGTGGAATGGATGTCTTCTTGTCCCTCCAAGACCCCCAAGACCAAGGGACAACACCATCATTCACCATATTCATCATCTATCTTCTTCCTCTCTTTCTCTCATCTTCTATCTTCATCTTCTTCTTCATTCTTCATTTTAAGTTTTTCTAAGTTTTTATGTGATTTGTGTTGCTTGAAGACATTGTGAACTTGTTGTGATTGAAGACTCTTGGCATTGTGATTGACATTGGATTCAAATTATTAGTAAGTTTTTCCTTTTCATTTGATTATGAAGATGGGTGCTTACATTAGTATGAATGTTTGTGTTTATCTTGCTATGAGTAGCTAAGTTAATTGCTAGGGGAAGGGGATAATTAATCCGGTTTAATCTCGTTTATGTGATTGTGGTTAACTCAATCTTTTCGGGTTGTACTTGTTATAATGATTGAATTCTTGATCACCATTGTAATCTATTTAATCGATTTCAAAACCGAGAGGGGAGAAGTCGGTGAAATTTGGCTCGTTTAGAGTAGGCGTAACCGGAGACGTATCGCTTATGTGTTAATTGTGTCAATTAGTTGCTCGTTTATGTTTAATTTATCTACCGTGGATTACTATGATGATTGAATCGTTAATGAGTTTTTGAGTCGTTGCATTTACCCGAGTAATTATCATTCATTGATGTGAGGTTGAACCAGAGACGATTATCCTCGGTACCCCCTAGCTCGTTCGCATTTGAAGAGTCGTATTTGTGTTGAATTTTGTTATTTGCCTTGTTCGTACTTGTTAGTGATTTATTTTATAGTCGATTAATCAAACCCTCGAAAATTGGATTAGTGTGTTTAGGCGCAATTTACATTCTCGTGTGATTGGATATCGAACAATAGTATCCGACTAACCTTCCTTGAGAACACGACCCGGTGTTCGAATCATTCGATTCTACTCCGGTAAAAACTTCAACAACAAAATGGCGCCGTTGCCGGGGAAGGTTTAGGATTACGATTGTGCGCTATTCATTTTGTTTACGTGTTTCTCTTAATTTCTCTTTGGTTTCGTAAGTGTATATATATTTGGTGACTGATTATAGTTTTCGCTCGTTTGTTAGCGGGTGCTCGTCACGTGTTGTTTGTTTTGTTTATGCGTACTAGGAGTGGTCGTGTATTCAACTCGAGC